TTTATTGTTACTTGTATTCTTGATAGTTGCCATTCTGACTGGGTGAAATGAAATCTCAGTGTAGTTTTAATTTTCATTTGTCTAATTGCTAGAAATGTTGAACAGTTTTTCATATATCTGTTGAGGGTAAAAGCATCATCTTCTCCTCCCTGGACAAAAATGAAGACACATTCCTTAAGACTACTTCTATCTTCTGGGAAACAAAAAGGTGTGAAAATGCATTGGAGGAGAGGGTATATGGCATTAGCTATGATGAGATTCCAACCTAAGGAGCTGAAATTATGAAATGGAGATAAATCAAGCCTTCAGTAATAATACTTGTGTGTTGGATCAAGTCTTGATTGAAGTCATTCCATCCCTTTAGTTAAACAGTTTGCATTATTTTCGGAACATTTATTGTATGCAGAAAACCAATTATGTTTGGTTTAGGGAGCAAAAATGATCTTAAAAAAGGAAGAAAATCTGAGAAGAAAGCAAATAAAGAAGGACTCCTTATAATTTAAACTAGTTTTAGTTTTGTTTTTGTTATTTGCAACAGAGAACATCCTCGCTGGTTTGTGAATGCTTGGTGATGTGTCTTTACCAATGTTCTGACTTTAACAAAGTAGATATACTCCTTTAAATCACTGCAGGTGCCATTTGTTTCTTGTGTATGTGGATGGCCAAATCATGTAGGAGGTTTGGGAGCAGAAGTCTTAATGGATAATAGTGTTAATTTCAGCTTGGAGTCCTCTGGAGGAAAATATCTCCTCATTTCCCCTTTTATATTTCCTAGTCAGCATCTTATGTGTAGTGCCATACTTTTTTCTCTAAATTAAAATAATCTTGCTCTGAGTTTTGCCTTATGAGGTGAGTAGAGGGTACAATATTGGTAAATTTTTTAGATGACTATTTCTATCACTAAAGGTTTATGGAAGTCTCCAGAAATATAGGGGTTCTGAACATAAATTCTTCAGTTTGAATTTACCTTTCTACCCCTTCTTCTAATGCTGCTTGGGTGATGGTCTTCTATCATCTGTTTGGCTCTGTGGCTCTAACGTGACTGATACACTCAGCTCATGTGCTTCTAACGGAGGTGGGTGGCTGCACTATCTGCCTCATTCATTCCCTGAGGACTAAATCATTATGAAAACCTGATCTCCAAGCCATGACCCTTGATACCTTGATCTTCACCAGAATTCACCTAATCATCCCTAAATGCTCTGCCATGTTGGAGACCTAAGTTCATGTATTCTTTATGAATCTAGAAGCCTCTGCTCTTTCTGATCCTCTGTATTAACAGCCTCCCAAGAATAGGGCCATGATTGAAGAAGAACATGATTTAAAAAGGTCTGGCAGTGAGGTAGAAATGAAATGTTCCGTTTCATTCTTTTGCTAATGAGAATACAGAAGCTAATTTTTTTTCTGAAGAATTTTCTCTTAGACTTGTCTACCTATGTCTTTCACAAAGTATATGAGCATGTTGTATACTTTTAAATATGTTTCTAAATAATCTTGTTAAGGTTTTTTGGTATCTTAGTGGTCCTAAGCCCATTGAATTTCCAGGATAGATTCTGATATTCTAGGCCATTTCAGTTTACTAATATTGTATCTAGCAGTCCCACTCTTACCTCACGTCCAATAGATGCATAGGTTTGTGTAACACCAGATTATTCTGATGACTCTAAACTATATTTACAATCACCTTCACCATATCGAGGTTGATGATCTGCATAATTCAAGATGGATCTTATTGATAACATAAACATATACTTAGATCTATAAATACATATATATGGTCATGTCAAAAATGTATCACTCTTTTTTTTTTTTGGTCTTGGGGATTGAACCTAGGGGTGCTCAATTAATGAGCTATATTCCCTGTTCTTTTTATTTTTTTATTTTGAGTCAGTGTCTTGCTAAGTTGCTGAGGCTGCCTTCAAACTTGTGATCCTCCTGCCTCAGCCTCCTGAGTCACAGAAATATACCATTCTTAATGATGCTTGTTTCTTCTGTTGACTTATAAGAAATGTTTTTACTCTGTTATTTCCTGAAATTTCTCTAATGAAAAATGTTACAAAACTGCACACTCTGTGACCTATAGGAAATGTGGCATATGCAATCATCCCCCCATGTCTGTGGGCTTTATATATTCATGTTCAACCTACCACAGATTGAAAATATTTGAAAAACATTACATGTGTACTGAACATGGACAGATTGATTAACTATGCAGTATAACAAGCATTTTAATAGCATTTACATTGTACAAGGTATTATGAATAATCTAGTGATCACTTAAAGTATATGGGAGGATGTACATGGCTTATACACAAATATCATGCTGTTTATATAAGGGACTTCAACATCCATGGATTTGGGTATTTGTGGAAGTTCTGGAACCAATCCTTTGTGGATACTGAGAGACAACCATAATTTATTATCCAAACCAGTATACTTCAGAAAGGAGGGAGGTCACTATTATTAATTATGCCAGAATTATAGTTATAAATCACTACTGTCCCATGCCAACACCACGAATGGTCACCCCACAGGGCAGAGATAGTAAATTTTCACGTGATATTCTAAGATAGCTCCAAGGTTCTTGATTGGATTGTATTGAAATATCATTTTTGAGAGCAGTCATCTGATGGCAGTCTGTATGTACGTTTTTAGTATTAGGTGATCCATCATTGAGTTAATTTTAAAGTTGTCCACGAGAAACTTACAATGAAATTTGACTAAAAATATGGGTCAATACCAGTTCTAACCTTAATGTATTGTAGCACTTTTATTGTTTTTTTCCAGTGAATTTCAAGCTGTGTCAACCTGCCATTTTGTTCTAATGACTCTAATGGCCGAAATTAGTACCAGACAATCAGCTTGCAAAGACAGCATAAATGGTACTGTCATGTTTCTCCTTTTTATTAACTTGTATTATTTCAGCCAGTGTAAGTCAACCCACAATGTTTTATTTGCAACTCACTCTTAAAACCACCACCATTATTATTTGACTCTTAAAGTACATCCATTAATAATTTTTTGACACATGAATATGTTAAGAAAGAAATTCACATTTAAATCTTAAATGAACTCTAATTTCCAGTTCTTGTGGTTCTTGGTTATAAATTACTGAATTAAATAAATAGATCTTGGTTTGATGCCAAAAGGACTTGCAACAAACGCATTCCTGAGTGAAGAGAGCCCATGAGTCTAAAACATTTCCTAAACATTTCTAAAGCATTTCCTCTACATTTCAAAATAATGATTGATTCTGAGCTCTCTCCTGATTTGCTCACAGCTGTATCTCTGACACCTAGGACTTTGTCTGGCATATAAGGTCACACATTAAATATTTGTTTAAGGAATGAGTAAATATTCTTTGTAGTTTGCTTTAAGATATGTATGTCATATATTTTAACTTCCAAGCAGTCTATGCTTAAAATCTATTTACTGACATATGCCTGTCAATGTGTTGTGTGGAGGCTTGAAAATATCTGGCTTTCCATTAATTGAATTAATTAATTGGATCAATTACTCAACAAGTTCTGTAATCTGATAATTTTCAATACTAGTATTATTTGTTTCAGTAGAGAGTTTTCCACATTTTCCTTTCAGTTATGCAGTCATGTTCTGCTGACTTTTGTATTTGCCCTTTGCTTCTCTAGCACAGGTCAAGAAACCAGGTAATGAAACCCAATCTGGCTTTTTACTTTTTTGTTCCATCTAAGAATTTAAGTAGGATAGTGTTTCTGTTAGCCTGGTTTCCAAATGACATTAACATGCTATTTTAATAAAAGTAAGATCCAAGGGAAAGTTTGGTAATTAAATCTTGAAAGATTATTTTTTCCTATTATATTTTTCCTATGGCTATATGAGAGCTAGAGTGGTCATTTCCAGATGGAAGCATGCATGGGTGCGCATGCATGCGTGTGTGCACGCAGGCATGCACACACACACACATAATTTCATAACTTTTAAAAAGGTGATATTTTCTCTAGTGAGAAATTTTATTATAAGACTTCAGACCTACCCAATTGTAATTATAATTTCTACATTTATATAATCTATCTTATCATTATTCATACATGCTTTATCAGGAATGGAGATAAGTATAATAGAGAAAATTTGTCTTGGGAGAGACCAGGGTGATCTATGTTCAATTTTTTATTATTCTCACTTAAAAAAAATCTTTCTAACCTTTCAGGATACTAGTGCCCTCATTTTTTTCCTTTATCATAAATCAAAAAATTTGTTTGGACTAATTGTGATATTGGTAATTTTTACTTCATTGTTCATTTAAAAATATTTTTTCTTAAGGTATTTGAACTTAAACATTCTAAGTTTGGTATTTGTCTTTGTGAATGGGATTTTAGGGATCTGAGTGGAAATCATATTTTGCTGAGATCCACACCAGCCTCCATAACACACATCCTTGACTTCCTCCCCCCTTGAGCTTGCTCATGTGACTGCTCTTGAGTATGAACTATTTTAAAGTCATCTGTGACTTATTACAAAGATTTTATTTCTTTTTCAGATCTTCATGTACCTTAAACAATTGTATCTTCTTATAAATGAGGTTGTGCTTCATTTTATCATCTGACCAGCATTAAGAATGGATCTAATGAAGCAAAAGGAAATGATATGGAATTTAGATAACTTCTTTGTCACTTACCCTAAGTGGTTTCAGTATGAACCAAAGACACATTCATGAAATAAAAAATAGCAAGTAGTGTGTGTTAATTTATTTTTTTTTCATGCCACAATAATGAACAGTCTCTGGATACTAAATTCTCACATTAGGATTATTTTGCTCTAGTATCCCATGTGATATGATGATTATCTTAGACTTTATTCATGATCATTTAGTTACAAAAGACATTATATATTAGTTTCCCCCATAAAACTGTCCTATGGCAAAGACTTCATAATTTAGTGAGAACATAACGATTCAATAAAATAGAGATGTGTGTATTTTGATTTACAATGTATGTTGATTTCTGATACTATTTATATTTCAGGTCAGTTGCTGAGGTTAAAAATGTTTCGAGAGGATCATGGATCTTGGATGACGATGTTCTTCAGCACAATTCTCTTTCTCTTCATCTTTTCTCACATTTACAACACGATTCTTCTGATGGATGGCAACATGGGGTAGGTTATCTTTCCCCTTTCTACTGTGGTGAGTGTTAAGTTTGAAATTCAGAAGAATTCAATCAGAATTTTTTGGTTTGTAGTAACATGAATCTCCTTTACAAATAGCCTACCCTGAAGAGGGATAATTGTGTTTTCCCTAAGGCGTGCAGAATTTTTTTTCCCCTATAAACATAGTATTTTACAATACTTAAATTTGTTCCTTATATTTTCAGACTTTTCTGTGGGGTAGTTTGAGGGCAGGTACTAGTTTTATTATAGTGACAGAGTATGAGAAGCAGTAAATTTAATGACTTGCTTATATTCACCTAGTTAGTACAGCAAGGATGCAAGGAGGATCTTCATGTTTTCATTTCTAACACTCTGCAGTGCCTGGCTAAATAAGGTACTTGACATTTGTGGCTTTTAATTAATTAATTAATTAATTAAATATTTATTCTTTAGTTATAGTTGAACACAATACCTTTATTTTATTTATTTATTTTTATGTGGTGTTGAGGATTGAACCCAGGGCCTTACATGTGCTAGGTGAGCGCTCTACCACTGAACTACAACCCCAGCCCTTATTTATTTATTTTTATTTTTTATTTTATTTATTTTTTACTCTTTTGACAGTTCAATAGAGAGACCTTTGTTCCAAATGGGTCATTTCGAAAGTAGGCTACCTTGAATTAAATGCTTATCAAATCATTAGAGTATGAACATGTGCTGATAAGTAGATTACAGTTTTCTCAAACTTTTTCCAGTTCTTTCATTATATAATGAGACACAAGGATTGGTCCTTCGGCATAATTTCCTCTTGGTTTTCCCTCAGTAAATTTTAAGGGCAGCATACAAGGAAATTGGTTTAGCCTACTGCATTAAGAAATTAGCTCAGTGTTAATAATAAACCACTTTAGATATTTGTTATTCATTGAAATAGTTACTAAGGAAGGTCTTGATCTACCTTTCCCAACAGATTGGAAAGCCAGATAATATCCTTTTCTTCTAAATATTAGTCTAGGCAAGATTATTGCCAGTTCTACAGTAAGCAGTTTTTTGATGTTATGTATAGATTTTAGCATCATGTTCAATGCTGAAATGAAGATAATTTAAAATTCTGCTTTTTCTCCACCTTTAAAAGGAAAATCAGATATTTTACAAGTTTTATACTTTAGTCCTTGATAAGAAGTGATAAATTCAAGAATTCAATTTTAGATCAAATATTCAGAGCTCATAAAGTTATTAAAATGCTTTGTAATTGTTTCTTGTAGTTAGAATTGATGCTATTAATATTGAATCTATTTTTAAGTGATGCAGTTACAGGCTCTAACCTGGGGCTGCTTAGAATGTGTATTATTTCTAGTAACAGAAATAATAATAATGTAGTATATAAAATATATTTTTGCTCAGAAGTTACCTTTTCATCTATTTGTATTTTTATATGGAGCTAGTGAGGAATATGTTAACCAGAAATGCTTACTCTGAAGAAAGTAGAAGATAAATCAATTGTGGTAATAAATAATCCCTTGCACACTGCAAAGCATGCAGTAGCTAATAATAAAAATAATCTTAATGACAGCTAACAATTACTGAGCACTTCTTAATGAGACATGAGTCATCTCAAATCTCACACTGACCCTATGTAATAGATATCATCTCCATTTTACAGATTAAGAAACTGAGGACTAGAGAGGTTTTGCCACTTTCCCAAGTTTACATTCTAATTAAATATTCATTTTAAGCAGCAGTAGAGAAAGAGTTGAAGAAGTAAGTAGTGAATATCAGTAACACAACCCTTTGAAAAGCTAGCACAGATCTGACTGAGGGCTGGTTTTGCTACTCATTTGCCACATGTGTACTAGTCTTTCTTTGAATTTCAATCACATAAGCTGAGTTTGACAATTGAAAGGAGTAGTAAGTACATGCAGGAAATAAGATAATAGTTTAGAATTTATGTGTACTATCTTAATGAAAATTATAAGTGGTTCTCTTTTATTCTCAGACTAAATACATTATCACGTTTCTATGTAACTGTTGAATCCTTTAGCAATGCACCTTATTTTTTTTCTAGAAAAGGATGTTTTGCTGAGAAGATTTACAGGTATAATTTTAAAAAAATTCCAAAGCCAGGAACAAATTATTTAGTTCTACAGATTAAAAAAAATATCACTGTTTATAAAAGCTGTTTACCCACTTTCATGATACACATCATTTGAACTAGTGAACACTTCAAAGTAGGAATGTAAATCTGAAGGAAATTCAGTTCTAAGAGCAAATAGATAAACTGTACTTTGGAGTTTCTTCAGGGGAAACTGTTATTTGAGGCATTTCTTCATCCTATGTGGGGCAGAAAATGATGGCATCTGAGTGTGGAATGGACACTAAACACACAGACATCTCAGCTGACTGGTTTATATCAGATGATTGCCAGTGCTAGAGGGTTCAGGATTCTTACTTACTGAATTTTATTTGCATGGAGGATTTCGGTCTGTCTTTGTTTATGAATTTCTCTAGGAACACTGGCCTAGCACAGTCCCCAAAAGTGTTTTAGAGACTTTTCAGTGAAGGCTAGACTTGAGTTCATATATTTTAGGACTCCTTTCCAAACAACAAGACTTCAGGAATAGTATGAACAGTGAGTGGCTGTACTGCTTCAGAGAGGGAGAAGAAAGAAATTTTCCCTACTGGTCCACTTTTTAAAATTGTTTATTTTATTTTATTTTTTTCTAGTTTTAGAACTGGGTGTAAATATGGGCTAAGCTGGAGTCCCATGATGTTTTGCCACAGAGAACAGAATCACGAGGTGTATCTAGAACAGAACCTAGCCACAACTGACTTGATAAGGGTCAAGTTGCCTGGCTCCTGTTTTTTCATTATGGGGAATTCCCTGTGGTAGTCACTGACTCTTATGGCTTTAGACACCTTAGGGGAGCCGAAGAGAGAGGCCGTCAAACAGAGAGGAAAAGAGGTAAGGTAACTGAAGGGGCTAAAAGGGACCAAGACTCAGACTGTCCATATGTCCTGGCACTGTGGAGAAATGACTGCACTTTCCTTTGATTCTGTTTCCACCCCACTCCACACCTCACAGCACCAAAACGATGCTTTTAAAAATCTCCTTTTGTTCTTTAAGTCACCTTTACTAAATAAAATAGTGAGGTGGTAGGTGAGGGTTGTGCTGCAGAGAAAGTGCTGGCCCTGGGCAGTTTTGTTTCTAACCCTTTTAGGAGCAATTTTTTTTTTCCTCACAAGGTGGCAGACTAAAGTAACCTGAGGCTTCTACTGCACAATCCTTAGAACTGCTGGAAAATATAATGCAGCTGGATAGGCTCTTAATATGCATAGCTGAGATTAGGTAAAGGTAAGGAAAAACTAAGGTCAGAAAAGCAGAAAGACCTAAAAACCAGTCGAGCAAAACTGTGGGCTGATGCTCAGTGTCAATGACTCCTGGACTTGAGGTTTTACCCTCCTGCAGGGACCAGAAACAAGAAATTTAGGCTTATATTAAGTGAGACATTTAAGCAAGTCTTCATATTAGTTCTGCAAAGGGTTGTGGAGGAAGAGCGGGCTGGAAACAGAAGCATGAGCACAGACAGGTGCTGGGGAAGCCTGTCTGACGCCACACTGGGCTCCAGGGAGGAGAATTTCCCCAGGGAACTCAACGGGACACAGTTTTTTGGCTTTAATGTACAGTTTCTTTAGGATCTTTGAACATCTACCAGCTGCTAAACATTCCGGTACATTCTCTTCTCCCAGTTTCAGATTCTTACCTCCCTCTGGAGCCCCCACCCCCATAGTTTGGAGAATTTCTGTTTTATCATGTAGACCAATTTCATTCCCTTTTTGCCTCAACTTTTGTTCGCTTTTGATTTATTTGGGGCCATTTTCATAACCCAAATCATGTAAATGCATTTTTCAGTCCGAAGAACCAGTATCCTGAGATGATTGCTGCCTTCTCAGGATATGAAGGGGCTGCTGCCGCCAGAGTGTCTTGGGCTTGGGTTTACAGTATAATTGTTTGTTTTGCTTTCCTTCTACTGTTTGGCTATCTCTTGGAAGAGAAAAGGGAAGATATTGAAGAAAAGGGGGCAAAGTGATCATTCAAAAAGAGAGTTATATAAAAAAAAAAGTTATATAAAAACCACAGTTGAACTTCTGCAGTGACAATACAATATACTGCATTATTTACAGGACCAAAAGCCCCCAGAAAAATAAGACATTAATAGGTAAGAAACACGAAACCATTTTCTTCCACAGTTGTGTGATTTTGCTTGATTAAAAAATGGTTCCAAATGAATTTTCTTGAGGCCCTCTGTGTTCAACTAGGCAACTTACAGCCACTCCAGTTAGACATTCTTTATTTAGTAGGAATGAGAAGGATGTGCTCCAAAGTCCAAGTCAAGGTCTTTACTGACTAGAAACTGAACAGGTCACTTACAGCTGGGAAATATTTTTGGTTTTTGGATACTTCAAACACTTTGAAGTTGTCCTTCTGAAGAAATTCTCAATAATCTAATTTTTATAGCACCAATAGCATAAAGCTTTAATTCAGAAAGGCTTGGTTGGTCTTTTCAAATATCCCCATCCCCCAAAGGATAATGCATATCTCAGGTCAAGCAAAGAAATGGTGTGGGGAGGTAAAGCTAACACACCAAGGCTGCTATTCAAAAGACTATTCCAAAAAGAGCCATTTGATGGCAGCAAAAGGCACCTTTTTGAGCACTGATCAGCTCATGAATGAGTAACAGGTTTTCTGGTAAAAGAAGGGAATCTTCCTTTTCAGTTCTAAACCTTGGTGTTAAAGTATTTGTCTTGTTGTTCATGAACCTTTTGCAGAAATCCACAGTGAACTCTATAATAAGCACTGATTATTTTGTGAAGTCCCTGGCTCCTACTCATGTTCTGACATAGGCTTAACATATTCCTACAAATATATCTGCATGTTTATAGACTTATTCTAGTATTACAAAAATGGAAAGAACTATATTTATTACTGAGGAACTTAGACATTTTATTCATCG